TCTAGCAGAGATAATCCAGCTGATAAGTCTTGCCCAACATACTCCAAAGGAGGCATGTCATCGTCATCGTCCTGTTTTGCTGGCGCGGTGGATGCTGAGGCACCAGCGGCCACGTAGCTTAAAGGAGGCATGTTAGAGTTGTTTTGTGCGACGCCCACATACTCCAAAGGCGGCATGTCGGAATCATCGGCTGGGCAAGATGCATCGACAAAACTGCCATTGCTCTCGGGTTCCAACTGGCCCAAGTTCTCAGGCTTGATCGACACACGCTGTCCCGAGTCAAGCTTCACCGCCAGCCTGCCTTGCTGGGCATGTGCAAAGCTCTGCAAGGTTCCTTTCTGGCCATTGAGCTCTTTCTTGGACAGCCCTTTCAGCAGAACTCTGTCGCCCTCACGCAAAGGCACGTCATGCTGCGTACTTGCACCAACGTACTCCAGTGGAGGCATGTCATCCTCGTCCTCTTGCTTGCCTGCAGAACTTCTGCTGGATGCAGCCGGTGCAGTGCCTACATACTCCAGCGGGGGCATCTCGCCGTCATCATCAGCATGCCGGCCAGCTTCGGTGGCAGCGCTTCCCTGTGAGTGCTGCTTGCCGACAACATTGGGCGTGGAGGCAGCGCCCACGTATTCCAAAGGCGGCATGTCGGAACCATCGGCTGGGCAAGATGCATCGACAAAACTGCCATTGCTCTCGGGTTCCAACTGGCCCAAGTTCTCAGGCTTGATCGACACACGCTGTCCTGAGTCAAGCTTCACCGCCAGCCTGCCTTGCTGGGCCTGTGCAAAGCTCTGCAAGGTTCCTTTCTGGCCGTTGAGCTCTTTCTTGGAGAGACCTCTCAGCAGAACTCTGTCGCCCTCACGCAAAGGCACATCAAGCGGCGTACTTGCACCAACGTACTCCAGTGGAGGCATGTCATCCTCGTCTTCTTGCTTGCCTGCAGAACTTCTGCTGGATGCAGCCGGTGCAGTGCCTACATACTCCAGTGGGGGCATCTCGTCCTCATCATCAGCATGCCGGCCAACTTCGGTGGCAGCGCTTCCCTGTGAGTGCTGCTTGCCGTCAACATTGGGCGTGGAGGCAGCGCCCACGTATTCCAAAGGCGGCATGTCGGAATCATCGGCTGGGCAAGATGCATCGACAAAACTGCCATTGCTCTCGGGTTCCAACTTGCCCAAGTTCTCAGGCTTGATCGACACACGCTGTCCTGAGTCAAGCTTCACCGCCAGCCTGCCTTGCTGGGCCTGTGCAAAGCTCTGCAAGGTTCCTTTCTGGCCATTGAGCTCTTTCTTGGACAGCCCTTTCAGCAGAACTCTGTCGCCCTCACGCAAAGGCACGTCAAGCGGCGTACTTGCACCAACGTACTCCAGTGGAGGCATGTCATCCTCGTCTTCTTGCTTGCCTGCAGAACTTCTGCTGGATGCAGCCGGTGCAGTGCCCACGTACTCCAGTGGGGGCATCTCGTCCTCATCATCAGCATTCCGGCCAGCTTCGGTGGCAGCGCCTCCCTGTGAGTGCTGCTTGCCGACACCATTGAGCGTGGAGGCAGCGCCCACGTATTCCAAAGGCGGCATGTCGGAATCATCGGCTGGGCAAGATGCATCGACAAAACCGCCATTGCTCTCGGGTTCCAACTTGCCCAAGTTCTCAGGCTTGATCGACACACGCTGTCCCGAGTCAAGCTTCACCGCCAGCCTGCCTTGCTGGGCTTGTGCAAAGCTCTGCAAGGTTCCTTTCTGGCCGTTGAGCTCTTTCTTGGAGAGACCTCTCAGCAGAACTCTGTCGCCCTCCCGCAACGGCACGTCAAGCGGCGTACTTGCACCAACATACTCCAGTGGAGGCATGTCATCCTCGTCTTCTTTCTTGGCTGCAGAACTTCTGCTGGATGCAGCCGGTGCAGTGCCCACGTACTCCAGCGGGGGCATCTCGCCGTCATCATCAGCATGACATCCAGTTGCTGTGACAGCGCTTCCCTGCGAGTGCTGCTTGCCGACGACATTGGGCGTGGAGGCAGCGCCCACGTATTCCAAAGGCGGCATGTCGGAATCATCGGCTGGGCAAGATGCATCGACAAAACTGCCATTGCTCTCGGGTTCCAACTTGCCCAAGTTCTCAGGCTTGATCGACACACGCTGTCCCGAGTCAAGCTTCACCGCCAGCCTGCCTTGCTGGGCCTGTGCAAAGCTCTGCAAGGTTCCTTTCTGGCCGTTGAGCTCTTTCTTGGACAGCCCTTTCAGCAGAACTCTGTCGCCCTCACGCAACGGCACGTCAAGCGGCGTACTTGCACCAACGTACTCCAGTGGAGGCATGTCATCCTCGTCTTCTTGCTTGCCTGCAGAACTTCTGCTGGATGCAGCCGGTGCAGTTCCCACGTACTCCAATGCGGGCATCTCGCCATCATCATCAGCATGCCGGCCAGTTGTGGTGACAGCGCTTCCCCGTGACTGCTGCTTGCCGTCAACATTGGGCGTAGCGGCAGCGCCCACGTATTCCAAAGGCGGCATGTCGGTATCATCGGCTGGGCAAGACGCATTGACAAAACTGCCATTGCTCTCGGGTTCCAGCCTGCCCAAGTTCTCAGGCTTGATTGACACACGCTGTCCTGAATCAAGCTTCACCGCCAGCCTGCCTTGCTGGGCCTGTGCAAAGCTCTGCAAGGTTCCTTTCTGGCCGTTGAGCTCTTTCTTGGACAGCCCTTTCAGCAGAACTCTGTCGCCCTCACGCAAAGGCACGTCAAGCGGCGTACTTGCACCAACGTACTCCAGTGGAGGCATGTCATCCTCGTCTTCTTGCTTGCCTGCAGAACTTCTGCTGGATGCAGCCGGTGCAGTGCCCACGTACTCCAGCGGGGGCATCTCGCCTTCTTCATCAGCATGCCGGCCAGCTTCGGTGGCAGCGCTTCCCTGTGAGTGCTGCTTGCCGACACCATTGGGCGTGGAGGCAGCGCCCACGTATTCCAAAGGCGGCATGTCGGAATCATCGGCTGGAAAAGATGCATCGACAAAACCGCCATTGCTCTCGGGTTCCAACTTGCCCAAGTTCTCAGGCTTGATCGACACACGCTGTCCCGAATCAAGCTTCACCGCCAGCCTGCCTTGCTGGGCTTGTGCAAAGCTCTGCAAGGTTCCTTTCTGGCCGTTGAGCTCTTTCTTGGACAGCCCTTTCAGCAGAACTCTGTCGCCCTCACGCAAAGGCACGTCAAGCGGCGTACTTGCACCAACGTACTCCAGCGGAGGCATATCATCCTCGTCCTCTTGCTTGGCTGCAGAACTTCTGCTGGATGCAGCCGGTGCAGTGCCTACATACTCCAGCGGGGGCATCTCGCCGTCATCATCAGCATGCCGGCCAGTTTCGGTGGCAGCGCTTCCCTGTGAGTGCTGCTTGCCGTCAACATTGGGCGTAGCGGCAGCGCCCACGTATTCCAAAGGCGGCATGTCGGAATCATCGGCTGGGCAAGATGCATCGACAAAACTGCCATTGCTCTCGGGTTCCAACTTGCCCAAGTTCTCAGGCTTAATCGACACACGCTGTCCTGAATCAAGCTTCACCGCCAGCCTGCCTTGCTGGGCCTGTGCAAAGTTCTGCAAGGTTCCTTTCTGGCCGTTGAGCTCTTTCTTGGAGAGACCTCTCAGCAGAACTCTGTCTCCCTCACGCAAAGGCACGTCAAGCGGCGTACTTGCACCAACGTACTCCAGTGGAGGCATGTCATCCTCGTCTTCTTGGTTGGCTGCAGAGCTTCTGCTAGACGCAGCGGGTACATTACCCACGTGCTCCAACGTGGACATTTCGTCTACGACTTCATTGTAAGTGGAAACGCATGAAAGCAGACTTACATTGCCATTCTCATGCTGCCTGTCATGGGTAACTCACCTCGTTCATGGCATGTGAAGTCACCTTTCTAAATAGTGTTGCAGTTGGCCTAGTGTGGAGCGTTCTTCTTGTCATGTTTCCCAACTACAGCAGCCAACTGAATCCAGCTAACGCTTCACAGTTCAACTAGCAATGTAGCACAAGCACAGAAAGCACCACTCGCACGACGATGGTATAATAAATTCATCAGGGTGCATCATTGCTGGATCTTCTTAAGACCAATGAAACTTTGGATCAAGACTTTTTAGAATTTCAGTGATTTTTGTGTATGAGCTTCACCCTCCCTCTTGCTGAGGTGTCTGCCTGTTTTGCCTCCCTTGCATGCAGAAGATACAGCCACGTCGTGGAACAATAAAATAATAAAACAGATGAGGGAGAACTGTATCAGCTTGCAGGGGGGGCACTGTTACTGAACATCTTTGCAAAGAGGCAATCACCCATTGCCTTGAGGCGATTGAGGCAGCCTTCAGTCTAGCACATCGCGTGATGGAAAGCATAGGAAGCAGCAGACTGGGTCACAGGTGAGCCTCAGCCAAAACCCGCAGAGGCTGCTCATTCCTTGTTCAAGATTTCGAGCTCTGCGAAGTTACCAGCCGCCACCCTTTCACAACTCTCCTTGCACTGGACCCTTTGCCCCGATCGTGGCGTCGCAAGTTTTAGGTTCCGGATTCCCGAACTGTCCCTTTTTGTTCCACCCCCCCCCCTTCCCCTGGAGAGCCTCAACCAAAGCAGTCAAATCAGGCCATGCTGACTGAGGAAGGCTAGAAAGAACAAGATGCTTCAAACGACTGCGCATTGTCCTAATGAGAAGCTAGTCTTTGCCCGTCTGGCTCAACACTCAAGGTTGTTTTAGGCAATGGGTAAGCTATCGTAAGCTATCGGACACATAGCGTGAAGGTGGAACCTAACTATGCAATTCATGGCTTTGTACAAGTCGCAGCTCGCTGTTTATTAACCACTTTCTTGTGCATGACAACAGCTCAGCACACCGGTATTTGGTACTAGTGTCCGTCTGGCATGCGCATCTTCGGCTGTGAGGAAACTTTCCGGTATGTACAAGTACACATGCTGCAGCCAGACTTTGTACCGCTGAAGCAAGAAACAGTGGTGGGCCGCCCACCATCACGAAAGCTTCAGGTTGCAGCCTGAACCTTTGCAGACAAGCCAGAGCCCAAGAGCCGAACACAAAGAGCAGCAGCAATGACCTCCAATATTTCTGCACCGACCACAACGCTGCCGTCATCACCCAGGACCTGATGTCTTCTGCACAAGAAAAGAGACAAGGATGCAATGCAAACTGTGAGAGTTAACTAGGTCAAGAGGCGTCCTTCAGTTGGCATAGGTCATGCCTCCAAGAATTACTGTAGGCTCGTACAGGGCACGAGTGTACCATCATGGACCCAAGCCCGACCTTCCCTGGTCGCGGCCACCCCGCGCAGTGTTGGCCTGGAAAATTGGGGGAAAACACTTAGAACTTCTTAGAACTTAGGGCACTTGAGAGAGCAAGAGGAGCACCGCGAAGTCTGTCCTCCAAGACCGGTGAGTACTTTGTCCCGGCAAATAACCTGAACCTGCGATGCTTGCCACGAACTCAGCACACATCTAAACATTAAACATCGCTGGCATTTCTGGCACTTCGAGGTATGAACCGTACGTTGACATTCGGCACGGTGCATACCATGTAGAGGCCTCATCGGGAAAAGCCCGGAACCAGCACGGGGACAGACTATGGATTTCTTAAGTTCGTAAGTCGTAAGTTACGCACTGCAGAAGCCCGGCACTTGGCGCAATGGACTGCCGTCCGGGAAAAACTTCAAACGGCAGTAGACTCCAGCTACCTGAATGGCAAGAGACGAGCAGTATCATCGGCAATGACGCATTCGTTCTTCTCCAACCTCCATTTCACCAGTGACCAGGAGAGCTCCAGCAACACCTCTGCGGCTACTGCATCTGTGGCTTCACGACTGAAACGACAGAGGAAAACTGCAGGTAACTGCATGGCCGAGCTTAGCCTGTTGGTAAGACCGCACCATGTGTGACGCATTGTGACGCAAGAACACTTCGGAAACATCTTCAGAGTCAAAGCTCGGAGGTGCCCCCCTTCCCGTAAACGTAGAGAAGACTCGTAGCATGCTACGGCAATGCCCTGGCGACCATCGGCTTAGGCGGAGACCTGGAGTTTCCCTTGCCACCTGCGAAGCAGATGAGAGAAGTGCGCTCCAGTCAAAGAACGAAATGCTGCGTGAACACAAAGTCGAGGACGCTTCACATCAAAGCCGCACACAAAATGATGAGCAGAGATTTGAAGTTTAAGCAAGTAAGGAAAAGGGAGACTGGTCATCGGATCAATGGTTCGATGAGCTTCCGGCATGCTTGTGCATGTATAAGAACCTATGACATGATACATTCTGATGCATGCTTGCCTGAATTGACTTCGCGGTCAGCGCCCACTCCAGCTGAGCACATATGCTGGTCATAGGGGTCAACTCACAGAGATGTCTAATTGCGCCTGCCTTGTTGCCAATGACAGCCGGAAAGCCCGAAACAGTGGACCTCGAACCTCTCAAACTGACAAGCATTGTCTTCTGGAGAATCGAAAAGCCTGCAGTGACGCATAGTGACGAATAGTGCCGCTGCAGACGAAGAAAGGGCGAGCCTCTTTCGCTCCTGTCTCGGGGATTGCTCGATCGAGGCCTCACCTTGCAGGGATCCCAGCTACAATCCATGCATGCAGGCGCAGCTGATTTGTGTCCCATTTTGGCTCCCTAAGCCTGCCCCTCGATGCTTCGTCTCTGTTCCGGACTTTTGGTCTTGCGGCTGCTTCCTCTCCAGACAATCAAGTCCAAAGCGAAGCCTCGTCCCTGCTTTGCCAAAACTAAGCCTCCCACGAGGCGAGCGCGAGCTTGCCATTGAGGTGGTCAGCTTGACGGCACTTCGAAGAGTCTTGGGAGCTGCAGAGGATGCCGGCACATCCGCCACGTTGGGTGCCGACGGCGCTGGTGCGCCAAAGATGCCTCGCGATTCCCCAGCAATTCAACAGCACTAGCTGCAACACTCTACGGCAATGCCTGCATGCCCGCAGTAACATAACAAATACAACAAAAGTGTCTAAAAAGTCTCCTACAGATAACGCATACTTAGAAAGTGTTGTATAAGAAACCAACTTGGAAGGAGCTTCCACATGCACTCTTGAACAAAGCGAGGATATCTGGAAAACGAACCACTTCAGGAGCTTCTGCACAAGGTTCCACAGTTCCACAAAGGGACATCCACACTTGTATCGAGCACAACATCGGAAGTGTGCATTGCATGCTGTGGGGAGAGACAAGCCAGCCCCAAGAATCTGTGCCGGCCCTACGGGTAGCAGCAATGGTATGGTTTTGAGCCCGCTGTTGCAGCGAACCGTACCTCTATCCTTGAAACTGTTGAGGTCCAGACTTTGTTCTAACCGAACCTCTTGAAAGGAGCTGAAAGCTTGGCACAATTGTTTGTCTTGCGTCTTTGAAGGTGCTCGCCTTCAAGCAACCCACGAGGAGCAGCGTCCAAGTCACCCACTCCAGCCTTTCTTCAAGATGCTCTGACTTCAAGGTGCTCTGCAGGAACCTCTGGGAACCTTGCTGGGAACCTTGCAACCTTGTGCTGGCATTGAAACGCAATGCGGCCTCTGCAGGGTCTTGGCCAATCGAAACTTCTCTCCGAAGTTGTACTACCTTGGTCTGCAACTCCGTTATCTCGATGTGTCACAAGCTCGACGGCGCCCAGCCTGTCTGCCCAACCCTTCCAGATCGCGGCGAAGAGCCTCCATGAGGCTTCTGTCCTGCACAAGTGGCGGCATAGTCTTCCCGGCATCTCACTAGCCGATGCACTTGCCCGCATACCACGACGTGAAAGGTGAAAGCCGGACCCGGTGATAAAGTCTAGAATGTATTTCGGACCCCATGCGCTTTAAGCTACTTGAACGCAAGTTCCACGTGATAGCCTGATCTTTCGCGGGCGTTCGCTCGTTCTTTTCGCACAACGCACAGGCTCGTGGCAGCAGGCTTACTTACCCGCATTGTCAAAATTGCCTTCAACACGAAATGCCTCAAAAGCTTTGGCAACCTGGGCATGCCTTGATCCTGTGGTTCAAGATTGCCTGCTCGTGTTGCACTCTAATCTTCATCTCCTGGTCCTGACTAAACAGTCCGGTGGATTGGACAGTTCATGGATGCCAAAAAGTCTCCAACCAAGCTCCTTCTGAGGAACTTGAGTTTCAGCATAGACTGATCCGCCTAAACGGGGGGGGGGGGATCACCAGATTCAGGACCAACCGCAGTTGGTGTGGGGGCGACTGGTTGGTGGCGCCCGTGTGTTTCAGGGAGCGGGACTTGAGAGAAAATGCGTTGATGCCTTTCAGTGCCAGTCACGCTAAGTGTGCAACATCGCTTGCCGGATGATAAAAGAGGGGGTAGCTATGCCTCTTCCATTTCGTTAGAGTTTTCAAAGAGTGCAAGCCAAAAACAACGAACATGAAATATCTATGGGTGCGGCCATGCCTGAGGCCTACCCGGAATCCGCAAAAACGCCGTCCCCAAAGACCATGAACACGGCAAACAAACACAAAAACCACGCCATCCAGCTTCACAATCGGGTTTCAAACAAATCTAGGGGCCCTCGAATGGCTACCAGGGGCGTGTATTGTGACATGGGCCATTTTGGGGCTTATGCGGGGTTCCTTATCTAGGAGGGGGCGGCCACGATGGAGCCGACACCACAATTTAAAAACATTTGGTTTAGGGACCCACCCACAATACCAAAAAAACGGCACCGAGCCCATGGTTAGAATATTGGGTTGAGGGTTTGGACTGAAAATTGAACCGATGAAAAATCAAGCGTTTGCAGCTTTCGCGGGGCTGCGGCAGCCAGAAACCTTAGAAGATTTAAGTGTGCTGGAACAGGCCTTTCCCACAGGAGCCCTTCTTGAAAAATGTTTCGCGGCTTGTTTGAAATCCCCATCAAGCGGCGGCGGCAATGCGATGCAACGACCCCGTAGATAGAATCTTGGGTTTAGGGACCCGCCCGCAGCACAAACCCACAAAACGGAACCGACCCCAGAGATAGAATGATGGGTTTAGAGTTTGGGCTGAAAATCGAAGCGCCAAAAACTCAAGCTTTTGGCTCCCCTCTATTTGGGAGAAACCTTTAAAATTTATGGATGCTGGAGAAGGCCTTTCCACAGGAGCCCCACCAAAACCCTCAATCATATTCTATCTATGGGGTCGGGAAGCCATCCAGATTTCAGCTACATGCGCGCCGGCATCTTCTATCTATATGGGTCGGGACAACCAGCCAGATTTCGCAAACAACTTCCCCGCGGAAAATCATATTCCATCTAGTTGAGGATGCCAAAACACTCTTCCGAAGCCTACGAGTATGAGCCCCCTTGTACTAGCTCGGGCTAGATTGAAGGATTTCAACTCCCTACGCCACAAGCATCTTCAACCAAGAAGCTCGCTAGACATCTGTTCGAAATGGGGCCCGCACGCCGCTTCGAGATCGAGCACGACTGGGGGATCGCAATAGGATGGCGAAAGACAGCCCCTTCACAAAGTTTGCACATCCACTCACGCCCATGCTTCCTGTGCCTTTGTCTTAGTCGTTTTTGTGAACCGACACCTTCAGCTGTAACGGGCCTTTTGTCCTCAGCGATACGTGTGGAAACAGCATCAGCTCCGAGGGCCGAGAATGATGAACACCACCGAACACGTGCTTTTCCATATCTAAATCTAATGAACCCATGATTTGTGTAGAGATGCGATAGTAACGGCACAGCTCAATGGGGGACGCTTAATTACTTTGTACACCAAGCCAGACTTGGCAATCTCGAGGCCAAGCAAAAACGAAGAAGAGCGTGCCTACGAACAAAAACAGCACCAACGGTGACCACACAGAATCCGGCAAGGATGACGGGCAGGTCATGCAGCGCATCCTCCTCGTGCTCCTGCCGCAGCATATGAAGATCCGCATTGAGCTCGGCCTGCGACTCTGGCCAAGCCTTGCCCGGTGCATCAAAAACCACTCACACCGTCCACACAAGACAAGGCAAGACAAGACAAGACAAGAACTACACCGATGGCACAGACCCTCCAAATCGAACTGCCAAGGTAGGGAAAGGAAGGGCAAGGAAAAAAAAAAAAAAAAAAAAAAACGACAAGGGGAAGGAAAGAGCCGGAAAAAAAAAATGTACACATATAAATATATATACACATACAAATATATACATATATATATATATGGATTATGTGTGTATACACATGCCCAGCCTCAAGAGCCGACAGTCTTCGCCAGGCAGCTGGCAGAGAGCAGCAAAAAAGAAACATCAGAAGCTGTGTGTGGCAGAAATATGGCAGACATTGGCACCAATGGCACAACCAAAACAACTCTGGCTGCCTGAGCGATCCTCCTTGCTCTCTCGGATAGCAGAGGCGACCTTCATCACCACCAGACATCCCCCGAAAATGCCATCCCGTCTCACTGGTCACCGAGCCTCCTTTGACACATCCGCCCTTAGGCTCGCAAAGCGTTCCTCGAGGCCTTTGACCACAAGCTGCGTCACCTCCGGATGTAACTTTAGGAGCTTGACCGAGGCTTTCTGCTGAAGAGCCTGCTCCTGCAAATCGCTGACTTGCACTTTCAATGCCAACACCTGAACGCGGTACCGCAGCCAATGTCTGCATCTTTCCTCAGAAACAGGTGCGCATCTGGTCAAGGCCTCTCTTGCCTTGTCGGAGTGCTCCTCTGTCGAAGGCTTGTCAACACCGTGACACGACATCCGCATGAACGGCATGTCCTCTCTGACAGGGGCTTGTGTTGCCTGGACTGCCTCCAGGATTTCACTGAGCCTCGAGCTCACAGAAATGCAAAGTGCAATATGACAAAACTCGACGCGCTTTAGCATCTTTCAGCCGGTCTTGAGTTAGGAAATACGAAATTCTAAGCGTTGCTTCTGAATGAACCTGTCCGAGCACAGCACTTCTTCACCTCACCACGTACGGCTGTCAGACCTTCTTGCATTGCTTTCATGGCCTTCATGTGCCTGGCATACTCACCAACTTTCCTCGAAGGATGATGAAGCGACTTGGGCATTTCACTCGCCGGCGAGTCTGCTGAAAAAGCGAAGGAATGTGGTTGGAACGCAAATCCTGAACTTCTTGTCGAATCACCTCTGAAAAATGAAGCCGTTGCTGCGTGTTGAAAGAACTGCAAAGAATTCAACTTATGACCGCGGCCTCTGCTTCCTTCCTCCAGCTTTTCTGCAATCAGCCCAGTTTCAGAGCACCGTTGCTACCGGTGCCAAAACCCAAGGAAGTCATGGGCACCTCCTGCTTCTCCTTCTGGTCCAAATCATGAAACCTCTCAAGAAGTCTCACACAGAAGCCATAACCATTACCACGTTCGCCTAGCAACAACAGCTCAAGCACCATCTCAACAAGCTGCACATGGTCCTCAGTGGAGGGGGGCGGCACATGTTCAACCGATCAAACGAACTGTGTGCATCGACACAGCTCTTGCCATGTGTCTGTGAGGCGCCTGTCGTTTGCATTGAGCAAAGCTCCGATTTGTTTAGGCCGAAGCTTCTTTGACGGACGGCCCTTGGTAGTGAAACCATGTCAACGAGCTGCACCTAGCGATTTACACATGTTTCTGAAAGTTTGCGAGCTGATGAAATCTTTGGTGTTTCCAGATGCCAGCAACAACAGCTCAACTTAAAACTTTATGTCCATCCCATGACATCCTGATAATTGCCAATCAGCCTTGGTCGAACAAAAGGAGTGACTAGGTGAATTTTATGAACGCAGGAAATGTGTCAGCGAACCCCTATGCATAGTTTTTCCTTGAGATCAAAAGGGTGAATCTTCTTTGCGATCTTAATACTGATAGTGGTGGACACGGCTGTCAGGTTGGGTGGGCCGGCCTGATGTGAGAGGGCCCGCGGCTGCTGCCCATGATGCTTGGTCTGACCGGCTGACCGGCCTGCTGTGAGAGGGCCCGCGGCTGATGCGCATGATGCTTGTTCTGGGCGCGCCTGATGTGAGAGGGCCCGCGGCTGATGCTCATGATGCTTGGTCTGGGCGGGCCTGATGTGAGAGGATGCTCATGATGCTTGGTCTGGGCGCGCCTGCTGTGAGAGGGCCCGCGGCTGATGCTCATGATGCTTGTTCTGGGCGCGCCTGATGTGAGAGGGCCCGCGGCTGATGCTCATGATGCTTGGTCTGGGCGGGCCTGAGAGGGCCCGCGGCTGATGCTCATGATGCTTGGTCTGGGCGGGCCTGAGAGGGCCCGCGGCTGATGCTCATGATGCTTGTTCTGGGCGCGCCTGATGTGAGAGGGCCCGCGGCTGATGCTCATGATGCTTGGTCTGGGCGGGCCTGATGTGAGAGGGCCCGCGGCTGATGCTCATGATGCTTGGTCTGAGGGCCCGCGGCTGATGCTCATGATGCTTGTTCTGGGCGCGCCTGATGTGAGAGGGCCCGCGGCTGATGCTCATGATGCTTGGTCTGGGCGGGCCTGGTGTGAGAGGGCCCGCGGCTGATGCTCATGATGCTTGGTCTGGGCGGGCCTGAGAGGGCCCGCGGCTGATGCTCATGATGCTTGTTCTGGGCGCGCCTGATGTGAGAGGGCCCGCGGCTGATGCTCATGATGCTTGGTCTGGGCGGGCCTGAGAGGTCCCGCGGCTGATGCTTGTTCCGGGCGCGCCTGATGTGAGAGGGCCCGCGGCTGATGCTCATGATGCTTGGTCTGGGCGGGCGTGATGTGAGAGGGCCCGCGGCTGATGCTCATGATGCTTGGTCTGGGCGGGCCTGAGAGGGCCCGCGGCTGATGCTCATGATGCTTGGTCTGGGCGGGCCTGAGAGGGCCCGCGGCTGATGCTCATGATGCTTGTTCTGGGCGCGCCTGATGTGAGAGGGCCCGCGGCTGATGCTCATGATGCTTGGTCTGGGCGGGCCTGATGTGAGAGGGCCCGCGGCTGATGCTCATGATGCTTGGTCTGGGCAGGCCTGGTGTGAGAGGGCCCGCGGCTGATGCTCATGATGCTTGGTCTGGGCGGGCCTGATGTGAGAGGGCCCGCGGCTGTTGCCCATGATGCTTGGTCTGACCGGCCTGCTGTGAGAGGGCCCGCGGCTGATGCTCATGATGCTTGGTCTGGGCGGGCATAAGAGGGCCCGCGGCTGATGCTCATGATGCTTGGTCTGGGCGGGCCTGATGTGAGAGGGCCCGCGTCTGATGCTCATGATGCTTGTTCTGGGCGCGCCTGGTGTGAGAGGGCCCGCGGCTGATGCTCATGATGCTTGGTCTGGGCGGGCCTGATGTGAGAGGGCCCGCGGCTGATGCTCATGATGCTTGGTCTGAGCGGGCCTGATGTGAGAGGGCCCGCGGCTGATGCTCGTGATGCTTGGTCTGGGTGGGCCTGAGAGGGCCCGCGGCTGATGCTCATGATGCTTGGTCTGGGCGGGCCTGATGTGAAACGGCCCGTGGGCGGGACTGATGTGAGAGGGCCCGCAGCTGATGCTCATGATGCTTGGTCTGGGCGGGCCTGATGTGAGAGGGCCCGCAGCTGATGCTCGTGATGCTTGGTCTGGGCGGGCCTGGTGCCCGCAGCTGATGCTCATGCTGCTTGGTCTGCGCGGGCCTGATGTGAAACGGCCCGTGGGCGGGAGTGATGTGAGAGGGCCCGCGGCTGATGCTCATGATGCTTGGTCTGGGCGGGCCTGATGTGAGAGGGCCCGCGGCTGATGCTCATGATGCTTGGTCTGGGCGGGCCTGATGTGAGAGGGCCCGCGGCTGATGCTCATGATGCTTGTTCTGGGCGTGCCTGGTGTGAGAGGGCCCGCGGCTGATGCTCATGATGCTTGGTCTGGGCGGGCCTGATGTGAGAGGGCCCGCGGCTGATGCTCATGATGCTTGGTCTGGGCGGGCCTGATGTGAGAGGGCCCGCGGCTGATGCTCATGATACTTGGTCTGGGCGGGCCTGATGTGAGAGGGCCCGCGGCTGATGCTCATGATGCTTGGTCTGGGCGCGCCTGGTGTGAAAGGGCCCTCGGCTGATGCTCATGATGCTTGGTCTGGGCGGGCCTGATGTGAGAGGGCCCGCGGCTGATGCTCATGATGCTTGGTCTGGAAGGGCCTGGTGTGAGAGGGCCCGCGGCTGATGAAATTCACTGTAAGCTGGCCCCCTCTCAAGCATCACAAAAGCTCCTGCCTGGCGTCAATCTCACGTAAGTTTTCCTGGGATTGATGTAGGTCTTGCCGACGCTGCTGCACCAACCTCAGACGAGTTTAGCCTTAAAAGCAGTCGGACGGGAGAGTACACTCAACCTGGGGCCCCAGCACTTCCACCTGAGTACGTCACAAACAAACAAAGTTAAAGAGCTACCTCAGTCGAATGACCGTGGGACAAGGGCACATGTGCATCCAATCGCGTGTGCGGCACCATCTTCTCGAGCTGGTCACTTCGCTGCCGATCTGCCTGACAACAAGTAATCTAAAATCTACTATAGTTAGACTAAGGTTTTGGGGGGGCTACGATAGTATACCTACATAATTAGACTAGGTTGTGGGGCTACTATAGTATGATTACAAAGGGACCATAAACTCCAGCCAAGAGAGCTGCGACTCCAAGCAATGTATTGCCTCCGTGGTGTTCTTGCCAGCTTGAACCACTGCCAAATCCTCCTGCACACAACACATGCCCCGCATTCTCATCTTCTCCTCATCTTGCTTTGGTGGTCTAGGCGACTGAGACTATCTGCTTACAATGTTCCCGTATGTTTCTTGCTCCCGTCGTTTTGTTGCTGTCGCTTGCCTCAGGCTGGAAAAATCTTTGCTGGTTTCTTGAGACCCAAACAAGTTTCTCATCACGTTTCAACATGGCCTTGTAGGCCGGGTAAAGCGGGCGGACATGAGAATGAAGAAAGCCAATCCAGAAGACGTGCACAGACCCCTGTGATGTGCAAAAATATAAGCTCTCAACTCAGAGGATCCTCCAATCTGGAACAGCGGCTTGCTTGCAGCCGCACGGACTGGTCTACCTGACAAGGCAGGGTCTTGTGTTTCAAAGGGACCCCAGGATGCCAACATGGGAAGAACTTGCGGCTGGCATCTGCTGGCCTCTTCGATGAGTTTTCGGACGAGGCAATCCACAGCTTCGAAGTCAAACGTTTTCACATCTGCCACCTGTACGGGCACAGCTCTACTCTCCCAACAGCCTAAAGACTTGATACGGTTTGCTTGATGTCTATCCTGCAGCACGCCATCATCCAAGGCGGGTTCTTCGAGGCTCTGCAAGGCTGTCGGCCTGTCTTTGAAGATTGTCAAGTCGTTCGTTCAGCCAGCTGGCTTCCGCCTGTACATCGTCGTGAGGGCCATGCCTTACCCCTTGAACACAGCTTCACGCTCATGGCCTGCACTGGCTGCTGTGCACGCTTTTGAGGCTCGCCTCCGAAGGAGTGATGGCAAAAGCCCCCCTCATACAAACCTTAACTGCATCACGTCCGCCCAACAAACCTGTTGACTCAGAACAACGAAATGTGGCGTTTCCATCGTCTGAACTGCGTCTATGTTCTAACACGGGCCGTCACTTGGTGCAAGGTGTTCTAACACGGGTCGTCACCTGGTGCAAGGTAGTGAAAGTCACAACTATCAACAGAAAGGCATTTCTGAAAGATCATCCCCACATGGGCTGCCACACTGCCTCCACGCTTGTACATGTCTTGCATTTGCAACCGCACCCACACCTGCATCATCCTGCATCCCACAACATGTCGACAAAGACTTCCCCGCCTTCAACACACCTGGTTCGAAATACCTCTCCTCGAAATCGGCAGAACATAACAAAATGAGCTATGACTTCATTGTTTAACATGTGCCAATGTAACGTTTGGAGGCAAAGCAGCTTCAAGTTTCCTCTGCTTGAACAACCATTTTCAATCATATTGCTGATGTCGATGCTTTTGCCTTGAACATGAATGTTATTTGCAAGAGCTTTTTTTGCGGCTATCTTGAACGAGATTCATGGATGCTGCATACTACGTGTTGCGGCTCTACTACAAGTAATGTAAACAGCGACAGTCCGGGCAAATAGTGCGTGTCGCGGTGTCGTAGTTTTTCAATCCCCTCAGGTTGTCAGGGGAGGGGGCTAGGGCGCCCATTTTAGACCCCCAACTGTGCTATTTCCTAGGGACTGGGCATAATCCGGGCAACATTTTAGACCTTTTGTTGGCTATGGACTTGTTGTGTGTTGGCTATGGATCTCCCCCCAAACCTAACCACTGGACCAGCCTGCAGAATTCTCGTCTACGAACAAAGATCTGGTTCTTTTTCTTCTGCTCATCTCATGGCACCAAAGTAGGCCTAGCCAACACGCGCATCCTGCGGCCTGGTTTCGAGGTGTGAGGTCTGAAGTAGTAGGTTACAATTGTAATTGTAAGACAAACTGGCTTCCAGGATGTTTGCTTAAAATGCTCACATCATGAAGGCCAGCGGCTAGCAGCTATAGCCACCTTAATTTTTCATTGGTGTTGAGAGTCAAGCCATGATAAGCCTAAGCGCTGGGGAATTTTTGCATCAAATGCCGCATCGGTTCTCAATGGCTGATCCGCTTAAGGGGGCACCTTCTCGTACTCTCCAAGGAAAAGATATGGAAAGACAAGCATCTGTGTTATCTGGATATGTGTGGCAAGAAGGACTCCTGAAAAAGTAATCAGGTAATGCCTTCGTGGTCTTTTTGAGGCTGCCGCCCTTTTTTTGCGGGGGGACAGTTGGAACAGTCCTGAGATGTGCTCGGCAAGTGAAGGTGACATTCCTCCAGACGGGCGGGTTCTTTGCGCAGCATGCGCCAGAGCTGTTGGCCACGCCGGCTTGGGAAAAGGGAGCGAGAGGAAGAGGGAGCTGAGGGAGGGAGCAGAGAGCGGCAAGCAGGGAGCCTTCTCTCTCTTTACTAGGGGAAGCTGACCCAGATCGCCAGGCACGGGGAGCCTGTCAGTCCCCTTCCCTTTCGTCACAGGAAGAGAGAGAGAAGAGAGAGAAGAGAGAGAGAAGAGAGAGAGAGAAGAGAGAGAGAAGAGAGAGAGAAGAGAGAGAGAAGAGAGAGAGAAGAGAGAGAGAAGAGAGAGAGAAGAGAGAGAGAAGAGAGAGATGAATGACGGGAGAAAGAGTGCAGGGTGCGCTTTTTCACGAGAGGCGCGTGGGCTTGCGGGAGCGCTGTCGCGGAGGCGGAGCGGCTCCAGGCCGGGAAGGGTCGAAAATGCCTCTGGAACCATCAGACCCGTGGTCATTTCAGACCCCCCACAAACCGAGGGGCTGTTTTTCATTTGTGACTTCGACACCCGGACTCAGAGTTGGTTAACCTTCAGCAGCAAGGAGCGATTGCATTCCATTTACGGCGTTTACGGTGTCTGTCGTGAGCTCCTGCATGCTCGCTAACGGTTTAGAAGACAAGGACCCTTTTGGCGAAGCAGCGCCTTTGGCAATTTCTCTCCACAGCTGCTTGACCTGAAATGACAGATCATCAACTTGACGACATGATGCCAGGGGGCAGCCCTCTTGAAGCCTCATCCTCCACTCTCGCAAGAGACTCCTGGCCAGCAACATCCGGAACAAGCATGCAGGTGAAAAGGAGGCTACAGCAGTTTGCTTGGTAAGAGCGTCTCCGCAATGCTGCTTTACAGACACCAGAGGGTGTTGTCAACTGCATCGTGAAATTGGGCATTCGTAAGACATAGTTCCGATTAAACTAGACTCATGTTCAGAGTAGGGAAGCTCCTCAGCGTGCTGTGCCAGGGTTGTGCTCCGCAAGGCCCAAGCCTCTGCATATTCAAGCGCTGCTTCAAGGACGCTTGAAAGGCACCAGATCACATGCTCAAATGGATCAATGGATCCGAATATTGCACAGCGTTGGCCTCCTCCAAGACCTCTATTCGAGCCTCCCAATCTTGACATGCAGCTTCTGCATCTTTTTTCTTCACGGCTTCTTGCGATCGGCATCTACGTGGCATCTGCACTTGCCTTCGTGATCCTAGCATCTTCATTGCTCTGATGCTCGGCAGGGATATTCGAGCTCTCTCGCTCCGTTGCCCACTCAGGCTAGCATGAGATTTGAATGGCCCCGCGCAGAGGAGGTCATTGAAGCACAATACGCACGTGAAGTGTGCTATGATGCCACTTCATGACCTCGACACTTTCTCAACGTCCAGAGTCCACAAGGCATAGCCCATCTCTTGCAATTCGTATAGCAAGACCGCGATTCCAACTAAACCCAACCCAAACAGCAGCCGTGAAGAACCGACGCCTGCCGCAGACATATTATTCCCGAAAGCGCACATTTTTTGCCAGCCTTGAGACGACTCGTCTCAACGTTGACACCGTCAGGAGGGGCCACGTACTCGCTTCGCCCACCTGGTACTGTCCAAGGACAGCTGGCACGATCGCTGCAGCTTATGAACGCAGCGTAGCACAATGTCAGGGCCAAAAGCGCACCTCTCGGTGTGGAGATCGCCTAGGTCGCGCCCGCGACTGCACAAACTTATGAGCCAACCGGTGCAATGGTCTCAGCTCTGGACACCGCGATCGAAGGAAAGAACCAGTAGTGAGCAAGCCTTCCATGATGCACCGCAATGCAGGGCTCTGCAAAATCTCCAAAGAAGCATGCTGACCGCAAGCAGGCCAGCCTCAACCTCTTCGCGAACACGCTGAAGGCCTTCCTCTCTAGACATGCATCAGGTGTATTCAGCTACTTGATTGTCTTGCATGTTTACCCCGTGTTATTGTCTCACACAAGGTTCTGGGCCCGTGAAGGCTCCAGGTGGGCTTCTTCATGGAGGAATCCAGCTCGTCTGATGGAGTAAGTCTAGCAGATTCTAGCAGCCTATGCCCTAAACCATACCCGGCATCGCTTCTGCAGAACCAAGCACTGGGGGGCAAATTTTAGGCTTTAAGGTTTAGGGCCAAACGGCAGCCGATGGTGTTCCACGTTCCACAGCCTCCAGCTGCTGCACGCGCTCCGACGTAGCAAGAAACCCATCGGGCACCTGCACAAATCCACACGCATCTGTGGACCACACACACAACCTTTCAAAACCAGCTCACAGTCCAAAGCCAATAAGCCGGCCTGTTCAGAATCCATGGCATCGCTTCATGGTTCACAAGCTGTGATGATGGCTGCAATGTCATGCCCGTACTCCTGCTGCGAGAAATATCCTCTAAACCATCTCAAGCTTCATGGACACTGTGAGCATGGTTGAGCACTCAGGAAACATGCGATACATGTGAAACTGAAGCGGCCAATCCAATAAATCGCAACAAGACCCGAAGAATCATTTTCTCGAGCATCGCTACCGACTGTAAGACTGTCGCTCCTGGGATCTCTGTAAAATACATGCGGTATTGGGATGTATGGGGGGGGAGGGGGGCAGCCTTCAGGTTCTCTGCACATCTGACAAAGGTTCCAGACATTTCAGTGCTTCGCGGAGCCAGTCCAGGCCAGTGATGTTCTACAGGAATTCAGAAAATGCGGGACTCTCAGGGTGCAGTCCAGGGATACTCGGATGTTGCGCGGATGTGGGGAGGGCAGGAGACGGAGGCCAGGCGATCCGAGCGAGGAGTTGGAGCCGGGAGAAAAACAGTTGCGGCAAAAAAGAACTCCGCACATCCTGAAGTGAAAATCCTAAACCCTCAACCATAAACCCGAAACCATAAACCCGAAACCCTAACGCCAAACCCTAGAAACTAAACCGCATCTCAAGAAAACAATAGGAGATTGACAAGTAAAGCACTGACCGCCCTCCCGAAGGTCTCCGGCTCCAATACCGCCGCCACCCCCTATGTGCCGTTTGTTCCCCACCCCCTCTTCCGGTGTCCCGGTCTCCTGGTCCCCTGGAGTACTCAAGCATAAAGCAAGAGAGAGCCGCCGAGTTCCCTTGAGTGCCCACCCCCAGAGAATGCCGCAGAAGGTCCTGCCGAGTATCCTTGGCGGGCCTACCCCCACAAAATCCTGCAAGAGTCCAACCTGCAACACACTATCCGTAATTACCTGTCCGGAAGCGCATGGCTCCCACATCGAGTATAGTTGTAGGGTGATGATCGAAGTGAAGTGAACAACTTCATTTTACTTGGATGAACAAGATGCCCGGGCCCCGGGCCCCCCCCCCCCCCCCCCTTCCTCTTCCTCCTCCGCCTCCAGCCCGCTCCATTCTGCCGCACCAATTTTGGTTTTTCTTAAGGTTGTGGTCTAATTCCATTCTGGCTTATTGGTTCCGCGCAGCTTTTCTGCAGCTTTGTCGGAGCTAAGGGCTGAGCTTTGTTCATTCTCGTTTTTGAGAACAAGCATTCTCTGGGAATTGGGACATCTGCGTTTATCTCCATGGATTGGGCGTTCCAATATCTTAAATAGCAAACATACAGCTGGCATCTTGCCATGCAAAGCACAGGGTCTCCTCGCCGACTTGAACTTGACTCTAGGTTCAAGGGTTCAAAGGCTGTCTTCCATGTGCAAAATTTCACGGGACTGTCAGTTTCTGTTCAGCGTCGAGGCAGGAGGAAGAAGGTGAGGTGTCCAATTCGGATCTCGGTTCAACTTCGGTTCGGGTGATTCGGCAGACGCCACTTCCAGTTTGCCACCAGCTGTTGCTCATAGGAAGGGTTTCGGCATTCCATTGTAGCTACGAAAGATACTTCAGGCTTCCCAACACGACACTATGCACAATAGGATCAACCCGGTTTTGGACTCGGAGCTCGCCCGCACTCTATGGGTTAGAAATGGTCTAATGAATCCAGCACAAGAACATGCAAGGTTCAGTACTTCGGCTCTAATTCAATTCGTTAGGCTCAGAGTGCCGGACTGGCTCCCCTTCGTGATTTCACCTCCGGGCTCAAGGTTCAACAGGGGGGCAGTCATGAGGCTAACTTGCAAAACCAGACCATTTCGATCCATCTCGCATGACATGGCATGAAGTGGCCGGCCCTTACCTGTGTAACCTAGACATCGCTACTCTCTGGAACCGACATGTGGCAAACATTAGGACAGAGGCTGCGCATGCATCATTTTTCCCTACCCAGCCAGCTGAAGCTCGATAGGGGATCTTGGCACGAAACTGCGCTTAGCGCTGTCGCGAGCTGCCCAAGAGCCACAAGTCACAGGCTGCTACAGGGCAACGCATGTCCGAAACACCATCCCCGGCTCGTAACCCACCGGGATCGTCAGCTCGTAATGTGCACCAAGGTACTCCACCACAACTGGCTGACCTGGAGCCATGCCTTCTGGGACTTGTACATCCAAGTCAGCGTGGGTCGCCTCTGTCTCGCCACGCTGCCGGCGAACCTCTGCAAAGACCACTGCCAGAAAGGCGTTGTAATCCTTACGTGACGACGCACAAGGCGAAGAAGCACACAAGTTCGCAGCAGGTGAAAATTGAAATGCAAACTGAACTATGCGAAGTCCGCTGATGCCGTGAGACCTTTCAAGCCTAATACTCTGAGAGCGGCGTGCCAATGTACCAAGGCGACCGGTAAGCCCCCCAAGAGAGGGCACACGCGAGCATTCTTTTAGGGGGGAGGGGAGATCTTTATTCTTGTGGGAGATACGATTGCCAGGATCCGCGGGAGGGGAGGGGGGGTGGCATTATTATTATTCTTTCTTTTTTTGTGGGGAGGGGGGGGATCATTATTCTCGTTGGAGACACCATTGGATCCGGGGGGGGGGGGTCGGCATTATTATTCTAAGGATTATTATTTTGTTCTTATTTTGTTTTATTTTATTTTGGGGGGGAGATCATTATTCTGGGAAATACGACTGCAAGGGTCCGCCGGGGGGAGGCTGCGCTCCCCCCTTTTTAAGCCGTGCAAAACGAGCTTCGTAGCATATGAATCTTGTCGAAACACATCATGTGAGCATTGTGTTTGCAAAGGGGGGGGGTCTGCGAGGGGGCGGGGCGGGCACATTATTATGATTATTTGGGAAATAATAGTGATTAAATTGTTTCCCATTCCATTATGAAATTATGGGGGGGGGGGGGGGGGGCGAAGAAGGGGGGGTCCATTTTATTATTTGAAACGGTTTCCCATTCCTTTTTCATTATTTGGGGGGGAGGGGCAGGGGGGGGGGTCCAATATTATGAATTGGGAAATAATAGTAAGTAAATGGATACCAGGTGGGCGGGGGGGAGGGAGGGGGGGTCCATTATTATCCGGGAGTAAAAATAATAATAACAATAACAATAACAATAATAATAATAATCATAATAATAATCATAATAATAATAATGATGATGAGAATAATTATAATTACAATTATAACTATAATTATAACTATAATTATAACTATAACTATAATTATAATTATAATTATAATTATAAGTATAATTATAATTATAATTATAATATAATTATAACTATAATTATAATTATATTTATAATTATAATTATAATAAATATAATTATAGTTCTAATTATATTTATAATAGTAACAATAATAATAAAATGGTTTCCCATTCATTTGGCGGCTGGAAGTAGTGCCGGGGGTCTCCATTACTTCTTCGCCTGCCCCCTGCCCCAAGATATCCTCCGGACCCTCCAGGGTTTGTGCTGGGACATCAAGGTATTGTCTGCTGAGATACTGGGAGGACCCAAGGGACCCTTGAAAACCCACTCAAGCACACTGCAAGGGCCAACTTTCGGGGACCCACTGTCATGCCACTGAAACTGTCGCAAGGACCCCGCGTGACCCCCACTTCAGAAATGCTGGCTGCTGAAAACACACAGGCTCAGTTCTTGAGGATGCGCTGAGAGCCACTGGGCTCCTTCAAAGGGCTCCAGGTGGATAAAGCTTGCAACCCTGAACCCCAGAGCCCCCTCGAAACACCTCCCCCTGAACCGGCCGTTTCTTACTCCGATAGCTGTTCCTTTCCCACCCATTCTTCACTATGCGCCTCCCAACATGTGGCCTTGGTTTGATAACCAACCTGCATGTCCGCGGGCAACCGGCACTGTGAGAATATGGTGAAGAGTTGGCCCTCGTTTTTCGACTCCTTCGTCAATGTCATCCGTTATCTTCTGTACCTTCTTCATGTTCCGGTACGTTGCTATGCCGTTGAACGTCAGATCGGCTGGAGGAGTCATGATGTATGGCTCTGCTTGAACTGTACGCTTGCCATGGCACCGCAACCTAAACACATGTCTAACATGGCAACCATGTTGACACCGTGCTTAAGTGCGGCCTGCGGCTTAAACGGCTTACGTGCGGCACAATCGGCTTAGCCCTGTTCATTCCAGGCCCCCTGGCCGAGGCGGGCCAAGTAGCGAGGAAACTACCACCTCTTTCGAAATCCAACACGACAATGCAGGCCAGAATCCAACGAGGCTGTAACGGTTTGCAGGAATGGGTACAAACCTTCCGTGTCATCCTCACAAGACATGACGGAATGTCACGCAAGCATTGCCAAGCATGTGCAGACACTTTGTGACACTATACGTCATGTTCTGTTGTGTGCGGCGTTTTCCTGCTCAAACTGCGTACATATAACCTTTCCAGGCCCAAATCCTTCAAAGGTCCCCAAGGCCAATGCTTTTCCCATGCCTTACAGAGAACAACAAGTGGTGTCGGACTGAGGTTATGGTCTGGGCGGGTGCGGCTGTTCCAGTCACAGCACGGCCCAGTTGGGCATGCACCCTGTATTGGAAAACTTTGTGGTATTGAACTTCTGTCACAACCGTTCTCCGGTTAGTGGCATCTCCCCCATTGCTCGGCCACTTCTTCGGACAGCAACCTGTCATGAAATGGGTTTTTGGCCTAGGCGTATCCTCGCATGCCTGGCATGCCTGGCATTGGTTTGCGCACGAAAAAGCACAAGAAACAAGTGCTTACGCCACTGGCTGGAGTTGCCGCACTTCTCATAGGCAAGCAGTCTCACAAAATCAAGCGCGAATCCTCAAAGATGTCGGCGTTTACACGAAGCCATTCACAAAAGGAAGTGAACTCGACGACATCAATATCCAAAGAGTGGAGAACCTTGTTCAAGTGCGTTTCGAATAAGCCTTTGTACTCATCGTGATACTGAGTCCATACCAGTGGATGTGATCCATCGGCACACGTCACCGTGAAAAAGGCCGCCCTGTCTGCAACGAACCTTTGCCGAACTTAACAACACAGCGCACTGAAAGACATTGGCCACAGTACAAGCAAAGACATGCTCAATATGCCATGCTGCTGCTGAACCTCCCACTGAAAACAATCCTCGTGAAAGGCTTTCAGCACCGGTTCCAGACTTGAACCGCCAGGCGCTAACGAGCTCAGCCTTAGCTGCACTTGGCGCCACACGAAAACGCACAACACATGTGCAAAGTTCAGTCTAACTGTGAATCAGGGTTTAGGATCTAGATTTAGGTTTAGGGTTTAGGGTTTAGGGTTTAGGGCTTAGGGCTTAGGGCTTAGGGCTTAGGGCTTAGGGCTTAGGGCTTAGGGCTTAGGGCTTAGGGCTTAGGGCTTAGGGCTAAGGGCTAAGGGCTAAGGGCTTAAGGCTTAGGGCTTAGGGCTTCGGGCTTAGGGCTTAGGGTTTAGGGCTTAGGGCTTAGGGCTTGGGGCTTAGGGCTTAGGGCTTAGGCTTAGGGCTTAGGGCTTAGGGCTTAGGGCTTAGGGCTTAGGGCTTAGGGCTTAGGGCTTAGGGCTTAGGGCTTAGGGCTTAGGGCCTTTCACGCTTGGACACCTCTCCAGAAGCTGATCGGCACCATCACCCATTCTCGCTCAGCACCCCATTGGCTCTGAATCTTGACTCCATGCGACACACGTGCAGCTCGAGCAACGGCACGGAAAACAGCTAGGTCATGTTTGAAGTGCTTTGAAAGACACAAAGCCCAGTATGTACCACACCAATGTTGAGATGCCTACTTATTACATCAACCTTCATGGTCTCTCTCTTGCATAATGTGCAAACATCGCTTGAGAACACGAATCAAATCCAACATATTGTGATGGCGGTGTTGGGTCCCAAGAACAGACAAGGTTGAAGAGAGAAGTCAAAGCCAGCGGTGAGATTTCGGGAGAAAGCCCCCCCCCCAAACATGAGCGCTTGCCTCTGAAAGCTTTGCTTCGGGGTGTTCTCAAGCTAGCTGACATAATCCTTTGGAGGAGGCGCATGTCTCCACACTGCAAGTGTTCATGTAATGAGAACGAACAGAGTGTAAAGCAAGATACAAGAACAACAAGGCAAGGTCGTCATATGTTTTCGGACAAGAACCGACTCAATTTGAGTACTTGGAAGATGGGCCACTTGTCCCCCCTATTGCAACCTCCTGTGCCGATGCGGCAAACTCTGGGGTGACATGAGCAAAGTCCCCCACTTTCTCAGTGCTTTGGCCCACCCCGGCCCGCTCCGACTCTCTGTGAAAGGCATTTGCTGCTCCACCCAGCGAGTGGTACATGTGGAAGTGTCGGGCGTCAACAGGAATTTTATCGGAAGCCATGTTCTGCGAGAGTTGCTGAAGGGAATCTTAGGAATAGAACCAAAGCTGAGACTGTTCTCAGATTCAAGTTCGTCAAGACAGCTAATTGCAAGGAAAGGACTCGGAAGAGCAAGACACATGCTGTTGTGGATTCAGAAAGTTCGAGGATTAGAAATCAAGGCGATAAAAGGAACGAAAAATCCTGCAGATCTCGGAACAAAGGCATTGACGAAAGAGAAAATCAGGAAGTACATGATTATTCTCGGAAACGAGATGGAAGGAATCGAAAAAGAAAATTATGCGAAAAATGCAAGCGGAAAACCGATCTCGAATGCGATGGTCAAGAGAACTGCTCGAATAGACACGATGGTGTTGATGTGCGAAGTTGGAGAAAGTGTAAAATTTGAAGAAAGAAAAGACGAAAACAGCGTGTGCATCATGACCATGGCAGCAGTTTTCTTTGGAGCGATTGTATGCATGTTTGTATGTCCCGCAGCATTTTGGCATAAGCTGGTTGGGTTGGTAATGCCAGGACCGAAGTCCAAGGCAGCCATGGTGAAGATTGATGAAGTTGAAGAAAAGCCGGAAGGCGAGACACCAGCTAAAGAGGAAGAAGAGAAGCCAGAAGATGGAGAATGCGAAAAGCCAAAGGAAGAAGATGAAGGAAAGGCTCAGCGAGAAATGATGGAGAAAAGAACTGAGCAATTGGAGGAACAAAAGGAAGGTGGAAAAGCTCGCAGAGAAGAGCAGATTGAAAGGATCGAGAAGAAGCGAGAAGAAGAAAGGAAGAAGAACGAAAAGTTTGGTGAAGAGGAACGTGAAGAAGAGGAAAAAGAAGAAGATAGGGCGCTGACCAGCGACGAAGCTGAAGAGGACGAAACGAGTAGTGACTCGAGCGAGAGTTCGGAAAGCACCAGCAGCTCAAAGAAGTCAGAAGAAAAGAAAGAGGAAGCTGCAAGTATGGAAGGATTGGAGCAGAAGGAGGAGAAAAAGGACGAGACGAAGGGATCTGGCAAAGTAGAAAAGGAGACAAAGAAGACCTTCGAGAAAAAGGAAAAGAGCCAGAAAGCAGCAAAGAGATTCCGGAAGAAGTCCCGTCGAGCAGTGGCTTAGGTGACTTTGCAAAATTGCTACGTGTCGGAAACCGTATTCTGCTGAGTGTGAAGAAGAACTTCAACCGTGGAATCTTTAGCACGCTTCGTGAATTTTGCAAACACTGTTTCTACGTCCCCAAGAAGTAGCAGATGAAGTTTTGTCTTGCGAAAAGATGGTCGACAAAGAAGCAGGACAGTTGCAAAAAGACTCTGGCATTTATGCAGGGTCGACTGAACGAAGAGAAAGATGAACTACATCGCGCAAAGAACCGAAGTTTTGAAGTGGTGAAAAAAACACATGAAGCATGCGGCTGAACTACTCAGGAAGGAATTTAGAACCTAGCAATTCCAACTTCAAAAAAGGACCTGGTGGAGAGACACCAAGCATCGGACACCGTTGAGTGAGGCAAGCAAGTGGAGAAGCAGAAGAAAAAAAGAGAGAGAAGAAGGAAAGAAAGAAGTGGAAAGATATGAAAAGTGAAATAACCCAAGTCGGCATGACGGAGAGGATGAAGAGCAAGTTTGGCGTGCTGATTTGGAGTAGATGAGCAAACAAGAATGCTTACAAGTTGGAAGCAGAAGTTGCCAAAAGCGCAAGATGGTCAAGATTGCGCAAGAATTGCATGAAGTTCGAAAAAGGATAACACGGAAAAAGGTGGAACAAAGATGTCGACAAGCAAGACTAGTCATCTTACGTGACCAGAAACTGGTGGAGGGAGAAGATGGCAGGACCAAGCCAATCATTATCACGAACAATATGCCAGTAGGCAAAAGTTTGAAAAACTGTGGAAGAAAAGAGGAAAAGACGGTTGGAGTTTTTTTTTGAACCGACGCCTCTTTACTACATCAGCAGCGCAGTAGGCCGTTCTTGTGGGTCTTAACACTAGAGGTGAAACAGAGCAGGTGCGAAACACACACACACACACACACACACACACACACACACACACACACACACACACACACACACACACACACCAAAACCACCACAAAACACAACCACCAAAAACCCGCAGCAACCCGCCAAAACCAAAGCACCAAACGTTAATGTACCCGCGCTTAGTACTTGAGGTTGTTGCGGAAATCCAGGTGTAATCGAGCAGCGCAGAGCAAGCGGAAGAGTCGCAATGCGAGAGTTTGCCAGATCATCAAAATCACCATTATGAAGCCACTGGTGCAACGAAGGTCGGCACGGAAAGCTGTAAATCGAAGAAGGACAGCAGAGTTACCGACCAACACGGTTAGGTGCCAGGCACACAGTGGCAAAAATAATTGTTGAGTGGAAAGAAAGGAAGAAAAGAGAAGAAACTTTATTATTTCAAATTACGCAGAGACAAGGCAGTTAGAAAGAAAGAAGAGAATGTGGAGTTTGAAGCACAGACTGGAGGCTTCAAAAGATCTCTAGATTCTAACCCGGTTCCAAGCTAGGTTTCTAGATTGTATCCAGGTTAAAATTTAGGTTCTTATGTTGTTGTTTTCTCCTCTTCTCTTCGCCCCGCCAGAGGCGGGAATTTTCGAACCTGGTTTAGGTTCAACCTGATTCAACCCATTTTTTCCAGATTAAATTTTTTCCAAATGAGCAAACTTGTGAACCTTCTTAATGTTTGTCTGGTCTGTAGACAATTTGCAGAACTTTTATCTTGACTCAAGCGTCACCTAGTCGTGCTGGCGCAATTCCTTTTCTATGGCGGCGTTCCCACCTTGGACAAAAATCCTCAAACCACCAAGAAAAGAGGCAAGGCAACTGGCACGAAGAACCAGTGCTCTTAAGCTGCCTGGCTGGATCCAGGCTGGAGAGGCAGTGCCTGCTTGGCGTTCAGTATAATGGCATCACCAGAAACAGAACATGAGCGTATCAAGACAAATGAACCGTCCAGACACAGGTGGCTTCATTCGCTCCATCAAGTTGCCTTGAAGTTCTGTTCTGTTCGGACCTGGCACCTTGAACTGAAAGTGAACCTGCACCTGAGCTCAAAAAGCTAGGAGAACAGTTCATTTGTTGACTTCTAATCTTGAAGCTGATTCTCTCCACCGAATACTGGCCAGAAAGAAGAATTTTCTGCACACACTTCAGCATTCAAGACTGCCAAGCTTAACTTGTCACGGAAGACACGGAGCCAAGGCATAACCAACGCGTGGAAGCCTAGTCCGAGGCGTTGCGTACACACAAAAGGCAACCACGCAAAGCAGAGAATTCAAGCGTCCAGATTTCCGTCGTCGGCAATTCAAGACATTGCCGAGCTGCAGTATGGTCAACTTGTCACGGAAGAACATGGAAGACCCTGGCAAAACCCACGCGCAAAAGCCTTGTCTGAGCGGAGCCTCCAGGTGTTGCAGCCGATCTCGCGAAATCGGTAACCATGGTGTTTGCGATGGTTTTCAAACCAGCGAATTTGGGATCATGGCATTTGCAATGGTTTTTGGAACCAGCGAATTCGGACCGGTAGGCGATGGTTTTCGAACCAGCGAATTCGAGGACCATGGTTTTTGCGAGCTTTTGGAACCAGCGAATAGGAACCATGGCAGCGAATTCGGGGACTATGGTATTTGCAATGCTTTTTGGAACTAGCGAATTCGGGGATCATGGTGTTTGCGATGGCTTTGGAACCAGCGAATTCGGGGACCATGGGATTTGCGATGCTTTTAGAACCAGCGAATTGGGGATTTCGTGATGGTTTTGGAACCAGCGAATTCGGGGACCATGGTATTTGCGATGGTTTTGGAAACAGCGAATTCGGGGACCATGGTATTTGCGATGCTTTTGGAACTAGCGAATTCGGGGACCATGGTATTTGCGATGGTTCTGGAAAGTCGACTTTTGTAGCACCTTTGTGGTACGCCGGGGACGCCCGGAGCTTCCGTTGCTGGAAAGTCGACTTTTGTAGTATCCGGGGACGCCCGGAGCTTCCGTGGCTCCCCGAATTCGCTGTTCCAAAAGCATCGCAAATACCATGGTCCCCGAAATCACTGCTTCCAAAACCATCCCATGGTCTCCGAATTCGCTGTTTCCAAAACCATCGCAACCGAATTCGCTGCTTCCAAAACCGTCGCAAATACCATGGTCCCCGAATTCGCTGGTTCCAAAAGCACCGCAAATTCCATGGTCCCCGAATTCGCTGTTTCCAAAACCATCGCAAACACCAGGTCCCCGAATTCGCTGGTTCCATACCATGGCCCCCGAATTCGCTGCTTCCAAAAGCAT